GCCCTTGGAGAGCTTATTGTAAGGCCAAGGAGTCAGAATCTACCACAGGGACAGGCTGGCCATGATTATGTGGGGGTAGAATGGAGCCCGCAGGACAGGGGAGGGACCGGGGAGTGGGCCTTGACTGGGTGAGGACGTTGTGAGACAGGGGAGCGGGAACGGGCAGGGGAGTCCGGGCTCGAGGACACTGCAGGCACCGACGTTGGTCTGGCACAGGTACACATGGGATACTAACAGCCCTTTTCCTGAGTCCTCCCCGCAGCAGACAACCACGTTGTTGCCTGCCTGCGTTCTCACATTCTCGCATTCACTCCGCATAACAGCCCATTGTTTTGCACATAAGAAAATGGGGCTTAAGGAGGTTTAGGAATGCGCCCAGGGTAATGGGTAGAGGAGCCAGAATTCCAACCTGGAGGAGGGACCCCACCCTTAACCTCCCTTACCTCCTCCCTGCCAGGGAGAATCTGGGCCTGGTCAGCAGGGGAAGTGGTGGGGTGAGGATAGATGGCAGAGGACCTTGGAAGCCAGAGAGAGGCATTTGGACTTGATAAGGCAGGTAGGAGGGAGCCACTAAAGGTTAGAGAGAGAGAGGTGAGAGGTGTGATTAAGAAAGAACTGTCAGTCTAAGGAGACCTTCTAACTGGCGTGGAAGAGGCCAGAGAGAGACTTCTAGCAAGCACAGGGCTGTAGGTACCTTTAGGCCTAGGAATATATTGTTTCCTGAGGGATTTGCCCAACACAGGTGTCAACTTTTGATTAAGCGCTTTCTAGCTTCCTGTGGGATGGAAGGAAGGGACAGATGGATATTTGCACATATTATGGATAATCAGATGGACAGGGGCAGAGTACAGGGCAGAGGTGTGGGCAGGGAAACCTCTCCAATCGGAGCTCTTAGAGTAAGGCCCTTCCGTCTTCACAGCTCACAGGGCACCAGTGGCTGCTCTGTCGGCAGGACCAGCTGGGCCCTTTCTCTACTGACCAGGTCAGTCCCCAGCCCTGGCCAGGGAGCTGCCAGAAGTAAGGCCACTCTCTGACAGTTGGTGAACCATTGGCAAGACTGTCGGGGGCGGGATAGAAGCAGAGCAGAATCTAGCATGTGTAGGCATCCTAGGCACCAAGCACTCTTCCAGACGGGCAGGGATCAATTTGTCTGAAACTTCTAGATAAGACAACCAAGGCTCAGGGAGGTTAAATAACATGCTTAAGGTGAATGAAGGGGCTGCCACAGCAACTCTGGCCTGTCTTAGTCTAGAAGATTCTAGCCATGTCACACATGATGGTGCAACTGAAGGGGACTGCCCTGAGGTCCCTCGGGTTAGGGGGGAAAGGGTTTTGGTTTCTGGTTTTTCTTTGGATACTCAAACGCACTTTATTGCACTTGGCCTTTACTGAACTGACTGTATCATTGTGTTCCCAGAGTCCCAAACAGTGTCTGAGACATCGAGGGTGCTCAGAGAATGACCTTGAGTAACGATGGTTGACAGGTAGATGAGAGAAAGGAGAGTGAGGAAGGAAATAAACAAATACAAAGTAAACCTCAATCACAGTAACTCAGAGGAAGCCTTGACCCCTGAAGGATGCAGAGCCCTGAGACTTTTGAGGGACGGGGGGAAAGCAAATCGGCCCAGTCCCAGTTACCAATCCCTGTCCATTCCCATTGCAGGGCTGATCCGGTCCCGAGTCCGTGGGGCAGATGTGGCCACAGCTGCTGTCCTCACCTTTCTGGACAGCCACTGTGAAGTGAATACCGAGTGGCTACAGCCTATGCTGCAACGGGTAAAGGAGGTGAGTCTGTCTGTCCCTACAGGATCTCTGTCCCTTGGGACGTGCCCGCCATGTTCTTGGCATGAGGGTGTGTGAATAGTCTTTGAAGTTGGACAGGCAGAGTACAGGCCTAAAGGGTCTGCCCCCTCCGGAGTGACTCCATGTTATGGAGCTTTCTCCTCTGAAAATGGGGGTAATTATAATATTTGTCTCACGAGGTTGTTGTGAGAATTCATTTGGATGAGAGCTTGGGTGAGCTATAAAGCTCCTATTCCGAATGGTGTTGTTTTCCTCCTGGGGGAGGTGGGTCCTGTGCTGGGGCAGGGGGTATTTTCGGGTCAAGGCTGGGAAGCCTGAGAAGGAAGGAGAGGGGGATGGTGTCCTCAAGGAGAGATGAGGGCAGGGGGCCCTTACTACATTCCAGTTTTATGCTAGAAGGGCAAGGGTAGGAGAAATGGAGGATAGGATGAGGTGATTACAGATCAACCATAAAAAGACCACCCAACTTAAAAATGGGCAAAAGATTTGAATGGACATTTCTTCAAGGCAGATGCAAATGGCCAACAAGCACATGAGAAGATGCTAAAAAGAAAAGAAAAGAAAAGATGCTCAACATTATTAAGACTTGAGGGAAATGCAAGTCAAAACCCCAGTCAGATACCACTTGATACGTACAGGATGGCTGTAACCAAAGATGGACAGTAACAAGTGCTGACAAGGATGTGGAGAAGTAGGAGCCTTTTCACTCATTGCTGGTGAGGACGTAGAATGGTGCAGCCACTTTGGAAAACAGTCTGGCAGTTCCTCAAAAGTTTAAACATGGAGTTACCACGTGACCCTTGCAGCTGCTGGGTGTATACCCAAGAGAGATGAAAACATACTCCACACAAAAACTTGTACAGGAGTGTTCAGAGCAGTATTATTCAGAGTAGCCAAACTGGAAACAGCCCAAAGTCTGCCAACTGATGAATGGGCAAACAAATGTGAGGCACCCATACAATAGATATTAGCCATAAAAAAGAATGAAGTCCTGATACATGCCACAATAAGGATAAAAACATTTCCCTAAGTGAGGGAAGCAGGTCACAAAAGGCCACGTATTATATGATTCCACTGATACGAAGTGTCTAGAATGAAACAAAGCCACAGAAATAGAAAGGAGATTAGCGGTTGTCAGGGCGGGGAGAGGCGGTTGGGAAGTGACCGCTAACAGGTACAGGGGCTCTTGTCGGGGTGATGAAAATGTTCTGGAATTAGATAGGGGCGGTGGGTGCACAATGTTGTGAATATACTATAAGCCACCAAATTGTATACTTTAAAATGGTGAATTTTATCACATGTCAATTATGGCTAATCAAATTGTTATAAAAATGGGAATTAGATCTCAGGACAAAAAGGTCTCTAAAAAGGAGACGGCGAGGCCCCCGCAGGGCTCTGTGAGAAACCATGAGTGGTCTCCCCTGCTCCGCCGTCTCCCAGGCTTTTGTGGTCCTGAGATGGGATGTGAACTGAGGGGCAGAGCTGGGTTCCAAGTTGCGGACAAGAGGATTTTGAGGGTCCACGCAGAATGCGTGGAGAGAAGAGGCTCTGTTCTGTGTCCCTCCACGGAGGGAGAGAGAAGAGAAGGCTGATGGCAGCTGATAGTTTTGCACAGGGTATATGACATGATCCACCAACACCATTACCCACCCCCCCCCAAAAAAAAACTTGGATAAAATTAACATTACCCACCAGTGGAGGTGGATTTGTGTCTTGGGGGATGATGGGATCCTTGAAGTGGATGTGGCATAAGAGAGTGACACCCAGGTTGCACAAGGACCGCGGAGTCCCTGCCCTCAAGCTGCTGGTGGTCCGATTGGGAAGACTCAACACAAACGTGTACAGAGGTGGATGACAGTTAATAGAACCACAGTTCAAACCAGCAACAGAAGAGCCACGTCAGTGGCTCAGTGCCCCAGGAATTGTCTGGACTGTAATTGTGAGAACGGCTCAACAGAGGAAGAAATCCCCAGCCTGCAGCAATCAGGCAGGGCTTCATTGAGGAGGTGAGATCCCAGCAGGGCTCAACCTGGTGTGAGAAGAAGAGGCTGGGAGAGCACTGTGCCCAGGGAACCCAGGTGGGACCTTCCGGGAGCCTGGATGTGGTGCTGCAGGACAGGCTTCCAGGAACCTGACATGTCCTGCAGGAAGGGCTGGGTGCCCCACGCCTTGAAGAGCAGGCAGCTGGGCCTTTCTTCGCGGAGTCCCAGGCCTCACGCCATCTCTCGTTCCTTGCCTAGGACCACACCCGCGTGGTGAGCCCCATCATTGATGTCATCAGTCTGGACAATTTTGCCTACCTCGCTGCATCTGCGGATCTTCGCGGAGGTGGGTCTGGCCCCCTGGGGGGAGGAGCTGCAGGCTTGAAAGAGGCAGGTGAGGGCAACCTAAAGCCCTGGGTTTGGTGCTCTTCCTCCTGGTGTGCAGGAGCATCTCACTCCACCCCCTTACCTCCAGAAAATGGAAAGGGATAGTGTAGAGCCCCGAGGTTGGGGACAAAGCCCTCTGGCACAGTCAGTGATAGCTCCAAGCTAGTCTTTTGTCTTTCTCTCCCTGCAAACACTGACACATCCTTCCCCAATGCTGCCAGCCCTGGGACCATGGCCACAGGTCCTGGCAGAAGGCATGATTATGACAGTGTCTTGGGCGGGGAGGGGAGTCCTCAACCTTGCATGACTTCTAATACGTATAGCTGGAGGTGGTGTGGACACGGGCTGTCTAATACGGTAGCTATTAGCTCCATTTGGCTATTGAGCTCTTCAAATGTGACCAGTCTGAATTGAGATGTGCTGTAAGTGTAAAATACACACCAAGTTTCAAAGTCTTAGTACGAAAGAATGTAAAACATCTCCTCACGGGGCGCCTGGGTGGCTCAGTCCATTAAATGACTGATCCAACTCCCGCCCAGGTCATGATCTCACGGTTCATGGGTTCGAGCCCCACATAGGGCTCTGTGCTGACAGCTTGGAGCCTGGAGCCTGCTTCAGATTCTGTCTCCCTCTTTCTCTGCCCCTTCTCTCCTTGCTGTCTGTCTGTCTCTCTCTCTCTCTCAAAAATAAATAAACATTAAAAAATTATTTTAATATCTCCTCAGTGATTTTGTATGTTGATTACATGTTGAAATGAAAACATTGGATATATTGCACTAAATATATTATCCAAATCAATTTCATATGTTCTTACTTTTGAATATGGCTACTAGAAAAATTTAAATTACGTATGTGGCTTGCATTTCTGGCTTGCATCTTATTTCCTTTGGACAGCTCTGGTCTAGACTTCAGAGCGGTGCTGTTCAATAGAATAGCCATATTTGGCTACCTAAACTTAAATTAATTAAAGTTAGGTAAAATTCAAATTTACTTCCTAAGTTGCACTAGCCACATTTCCAGAGCGCGGTAACCACGTGTGGCGACGGCTTACCATATTAAACAGTGCAGATTCAGAACATGACCATCATTGCAGAAAGTTCTATCGGACAGGCGGCACTAGACAATCTGTTGCTAGGAGCTAGTGGGTAGAGTGGTTTTCCTATTTGGGGCCCAGAGTTCCAAAAAAATGGATACAGCAGTTCTTTAGATCTTGGGAGTTGAGTGGAAGTCTGAAGGGAGCCAGGCATTTCTCCTTCAGGAAAATCACCTCAGGGCCTTTGCATTTGCTGTTCCCCCAGCTAGAATTCCCTTTCCCCAGATATCTCCATGAATCAGTCCTTTGTTCAGGTCAAATGTGACCTCATTAGGGAGTCTTTCCTGACTACCCTTACTAGAATAGCATAGATACCTTTCTTTTTTTTTTTTTTTTTTTTTTTTTTTTTTTTTTTTTTACTTTTCTTTTTAGCACTTTCCCCCTTCGACTAGCAGATTATCCTTTTATTGATTTATCTTTGTAGTCTCTGTCTTTCCCAGTAGATTCAAACTCAATGAGGACAGGGGCCTGTCTCATTCTGAGTGAAGGAACGACTGCATGAATTGCCCAAGGCCCTCTATGAGCTGGACTCTGATCAAGGGAGACACCAAGGGCTGGCAGAGCAAGGGAGCAGCCACCGCCAGCGGGCTCTGCCCAGAGCTCTGTCCTCACCCTGCTCTGTCCCTTAGGATTTGACTGGAGCCTGCATTTCAAGTGGGAGCAGATCCCTCTTGAGCAGAAGATTGCCAGGACCGACCCCACCAAGCCCATAAGGTCAGTGCAGCTTTGGGCTCTGCAGAGACCCCATCCTTCCCTGGGTTGAGGGCCTGGGAGGCTGCTGGGGGGCCGTTTAGTTGCTGGTGCTCCTGTGGGTGCATGATCTAAGTGCTGACTTGGTTCTGGGTCCCAGGGACAGAGAGGACAGAGGCCAGGGAGCTGGCCAGATATCCTGCCCCTGTGACTCTGCAAGCAGGTGATTGTGGGGCAAATGGCCCGGGGTTCTGGAACCATCTAGAAGGGCTCCCAGCTTCTCCAGCTCATGCGTTGCCTCTCTCCTCTCCTTGCTCCTAGGACGCCCGTCATAGCTGGGGGAATCTTCGTGATCGACAAGTCCTGGTTTAACCATTTGGGAAAGTATGATGCCCAGATGGACATCTGGGGGGGAGAGAATTTTGGTAAGTTGGAAAATAACAATAGCAAAAATAACAATAGATAACCCGCTCGAGCACTTTCTATGCACAAGGCCCTGTTCTAAACATGTATTAATGTGTTTCATCCTCACAACCTCACAACAATCTGAGGTAAGTACTATTTTATCTCCATTTTACTGATAAAGAAACTGAGAGAGAGGTTAAGTAATTTGTCCAGAGCCACACAACTAGCAGCCAGAGAGATTTAGGTGGTCAGGGGGAGACTGTGGCCGCATGGCTAGACGTGTGTGAAAGAACATACAGACTTGTAGCCTGGACTGCAGCTTAAACACGCAGCAGCTTCTCTTCCAGAAGAGCCAGGCGGGGGCAGAGTGGACTTTGGTGGTCAAATGTAAGTAATGGGGTCAGATGGCCTGGGTACAAATACTGGCCCTACTACCTGTGAGCTGTTTGTCCCTGGACAAGTTAAAGCCTCCCTAAGTCTCTTTCCTCAAGAGGCCGGTATGAATACTAAATGAGAGATGAGTTAAAAATGTTTGGTGTGGGGGCGCCTGGGTGGCTCAGTCGGTTGAGCGACCGACTTTGGCTCAGGTCATGATCTCACGGTCCGTGGGTTCGAGCCCCGCATCGGGCTCGGTGCTGACAGCTCAGAGGCTGGAGCCTGCTTCGGATTCTGTGTCTCCTTCTCTCTCTGCCCCTCCCCCACTCGTACTCTGTCTCTCTCAAAAATAAAGAAATGTAAAAAAAAAAAAAAGATTAAAAAAATATATGGCATGGTGTTGGCAGCCATTATCATTACTTTTGGGGCCATGGGAGCCCTCTCGCTCCAGCAGGAAAGGCAGGAGCCCAGCAAACCCCCAGGGTCACCCGTGAGGTTCAGTTAGATAAAGGCCCGGTACAGATGGAACACCCAACATGGGTAATTCAAGGGGGGTTACTAAAAAGCCAGTTCACACAGCGCAGGCAAGATACAGACAGCCGCAGGGACAGTACTGGGCTGGGCTGGTGGCTGCTATGAAGTGTAGCCACCCTAGGTCTGAAAGTCAGGGAGGGAGTGCCCTCTGACAGGAGCTGTGGTCTTGGGCACCTGTAGCCAGCCCACAGCACCGAGGTAGAGGGTGTGGGGGGATGAACACCCACCCTCACTCTCCCCTCTCCTCGCTCTGACCGACCCTGCCAGCCCACAAGATGGGAGCCTGGTGGTGCGGCCCACGCGGCAGGGAGTGGGGTGAAGGATGGGGAGTGAGTGCTCCGGGGTTTCCAGTTCTTGCTCCTGTGGTGACCCAGTCCTTTGCAGAGCCCTCTGTTTCCTTCTTCATCCTGCCCGGGTTTCTTGCAAAGTAAATATTGGCTGGTGGTATTGCACCCATTTGCCAGGTGGGAAAACTGAGGTGGACGCCGCCTTCCAGATTTTAGTCAGGATGCTCCATGTCTGACGGGGGTATGGAGTGCCTCTACCAGAGCCCTTTAAATGTGAGGTGTGATCAAAGCAAATGCTGGGTTTCTGAGAGGTGAGGAGGGAGTCTTTCTTCGCTCTCCCTGGTCAGGACACGGATGAGCAGCGGGGCTTACAACAGGCCTGATCCCAACTCAAAACCAACTGGAGTGGAAACAGGCGTGGAATGTTCTCCCCTTTGTAACTTACTCTTGGAAACCGTTTCCAGACAGGCCTTTAGAGGAGTAAATTCTGGGAACTAGGGTGCGTTGACCCTTCCGTTCTGACCTCCTTTGCACATGTTTTTGGCTCAAGTGGCCTCCTGTGTGTTCCTGGGAGCTTTGGCAAAGCCAGTTTCCTGCAAAGACTCTGAGGACTAGGAAACTAATGGTCTCTTCTGCATCCAGGAGCCTTTTTCTTTTGTCTTTTTTTCTTTTTTTTTAAGGCTGGTGATTGACAGAGAAACAAGTGACTGATCAAATAGCTAACTTCAAACTCTGCCTGAGGCAAGGGCTCAGTGGTTGGGGAACTTGAAAGGTGAACCACAGAGTGTTTCTGGGAAGGGTTTTGTTTCTTAGAAGAAATTCAAAGAAATTTCTAGGCTAGCCATGGTGCTCAGATGTTCAGCTGCTGGGAGCAGTTTTGAGCCAGGAGAGGCCTGCCACTGGTGGGTTTGGGCCTTTCGTTTTATTCCTTTGTTGAAGGAAGGGAAATGTCCAAACTGAGACTCATTCCCGCGTCCCCTCAGAGAGCCAAACTCAGAGCCCAGAGGCCACCGTAAGGGCAGGCGACAAACATGAAAACCTTGGGATTCCCATCAGAGAGCCTTTCATTATTTATTTATTTTTTTTTTAATATGAAATTTATTGTCAAACTGGTTTCCATAC